AAAGATAATGCACATTCAAGTATGGCATTTTATCTTTGGTGTTTCTGTTCATAGTGGGATAGGACAGGATTGAATGAAGTTTCTAAACCTGGACTAGGTAATAGAGAAGTGTCCTAGATTGTAAAGCTTGGTTGTAACTAGATGAAATTCCTTAGTCTTAGATGTTGGCAGGCATGAAAAGGGAAGATGGCGTTTGTAAACTTGTAAGGTGTCAGTTGACTTGCCTTGTTTTTATTTTTCCTGTTTATTTTTTAGAGTTTACCCTTACTTGTGCCGAGCCTTGAAAACCTTCGTCAAAGATCGTAAAGAGATACCTCTTGCCAAGGATTTTTATGTCGCATTCCAAGATCTGCCTACCAGACATAAGTAAGTAAGAAAGCCTTCTTTGGAAAAAAAGGAATTCACCAAATAGTATAGGTACCACTTAGTTGACAGAAAACTTGAGAAGTCTCCTTAATTTATTACTAGCTAGCTATTATTGTTGGGTTTGTTTTGTTATTGTTGTTGTTTTTGAGACAGTCTCACTCTGTCACACAGGCTAGAGTGTTGTAGCATCATAGCTCACAGCAACCTCAATTCCTGGGCTCAAGGGATCCTCTTGCCTTAGAGTCCCTGAGAGCTTGAACTACAGATGTGAGCCACCAGAGCTGGCTAGTTTTTCTGTTTTTCAGTCCAGATGGGGGTCTCTCTTTTGCTCAGGCTGGTCTTGAACTCCTGAACTCAAGCAATCCACCCAAAAGTGCTAGGATTACAGGTGTCTGCCACCGTACCCAGCCTACTAGATGGCTGTTTAACATCACACAAATCACTTTTATCTCACCGGCCTCAGTTTTCTTATCCGTAACGTAAAGTTTTATGACTTAGCTTTTTTACCTAATTCATGCAAAAGGTAGGTTTCTTTCTGCATAACTAGTTTTTCATGATTGGTAGTTACAAGAATTGTGAAAAGAGTACTTATAAAATTGATGCTGCAAGAGTTATACCCAGTTGCCCAGAAAGTTTAGTTCTGAAGAAACATGTTTTTCTTTTTTTTTTT